CACACACACACACACACACACACACACACACACACACACACACACACGTACAAAAACAAACCCAAAGTGACAGACTTTTCCAGTGAATAATCGCTTCTATTTTTGCATCATCTCAAACAGCTTTTGTGTGTATGACTTGAACCAGTTCATCTCCTGAGAAGAGATGTTTCACACGCTGAAGGACAGCCTCTTGAGACTGCCCACAGAGGACGACCCCGACGATGGAGTCAAAGACCTGGTGGAAATCACAGTGAGGAGGACGGTAAGAGAGCTGCAGGATTTCAGCTTTTTCATGAAAAAGCAAAATAACTTATTTGTTGCTTCCTTGCTCAACGCAGGACGCTGATCATGACGGCCTGGTGTCTGTAGAGGAATTTGAAGCTGCAGTAAAAAAGGAGGACTTGCTGATGGAGGCCTTTGGACCCTGCCTTCCCAATGCTTTGGTAATCACAAATAAAAGCCTGCTCTTATTTTTAATTTCCAAGTCACAAACTCTCGGTCTTATCTTTTCTTATCTTCCAGAGTATTGAGAAGTTCGAGCAGCAGGTTTTCAGGAGCAACTAGAACAATGATGTGAACATGTCATGTCTTAGCTTCCCAGTTTTCAAACGAACATTTGTCCTGGTTTATATTTTGTCACACTAAATAAAATAAAACAGATCTTTTCCTCAAGTCAGTCATCACCACATCCGTCTGGATCATATTCGACGACGTGGTTTGATCTTCTTCTCTACAGGTTTGAGATCTGAAACCGATTCCACCTGAGAAAGTTGACAAAGTTAAACATTTTGCCTTGCAGCACGATACAATTTAAGAATGTTATAAACAAGTGACTACCTGCTTCAGTGTGCTCCTGATCAGGCTGACAGTTGTGTTCAATGAGTCATCCTCCATGTCCAGTTTCGCTGATTCTGGTAGTTTCGGTCCAATTAAAGGTTCATTTCCTCCGGAAACATTTGCACAGTGCTCTGCAGCTGCTTCCATTCTGCGTTTCCTCCTCTCCAAATGTGTGGTCCTCGGCAGAAAGCTGAACTCAGAAGCTTGATTTGAGTTCGGGCTGTGTTTTGTACCTTGGCCTCTGCTGGAGGAGGACGGGTTGGTGCGTAAAGTGTCTACTGGTGGCTGTTTGACGTTAGTAACAGCATTATGTAAAGTCCCCATGTTGTCCTCTGTTGGTCCCGTCCCACGCAGAATTTCATGTCTGAAGGAATAATGTTCTCGGGGAGGTAATGGCAGTAGAGGAAAGACTGGATAGTTGCTGTCATTGGAAGTTTCCTCTGTAGTTACATTTTCAGAGGTTTGCTCGTGTCTGGTAACGATTGTGGAGGATGTTTCTGAAGAAAACTCGTTCGCTGCTTCTTTTTCTTTTTTCTCTTTGGCTTCAAGACGACCATAAAAAAAAAAGTGACAGTATCAACAGCCTTCTCTTATAAGACAAGTGAAACAAAATTATATCAAAACAGATTTTAAAGGCAACAAAAACTCCTCTTGTAAATAATGTTATTTTACAAAGTGTGATCTAAATGATGATAATTGAGGTTTAACAGATGGATGGTTCTAACACGTGTTATTCATTCTGCTGGTTCTCAACGTGTCTGTAAAAATGGCAACAGCAAAAAAGTTTTGTTTCTATTTAAGAACAAATACACTTAATGTTGAATTATACCTCTGTTTAGAGCCACTCTCTTTACATAACTCCTCCGGTCTTGTATTTTTAACCTGGTGTCTTCCACAGTCTCATATTCTGGGACATAACAAACATGCAGCACACCACCGTAGAAACTTTTCTCATCCATGTTACGCTTCGCTGCTCTGAAACAGAAAAGTGGGAACAAAACGGTTCAGTAGGATGCCTCGGTTTCAGCAATGTGCTTTGAGTGAATGACGTCACACAGCCCGTGCACCTGGCACTTGTTAGTTTCTGAAACTTGACCAGGTAGACCTCTGTGAACTCCTCAGCAGGGTACTCGTCCAGAGGTCTGTACTCCTCCACGGTGCCGTACAGAGCACACAGCTGGATCAGCTCCGCCATCACACCGATGGCTGGGACTCCCTGAACCATCAGGTAACGGGACTCTAAGTTTATGGTGTACACCTGGCAACACACATGTCAAGCAGCACTTACTTGACATAAATGCAGTTACAACGAAGCTAACTTCAACTTCGGTTTCCACTAATATGAATGGATACATCATATTCATACCTTGACCGCTTTAGCTTTTCTCCCTTCCCTGTATTTTGGTCGAGAAATGCAAATTTTCTTCTGCTCATGATGTTTATAAACCTCAGGGATCTTCCAACAGCCGGAATTATTGTTGACAGAGTCCGCCATGTTTCTGGAACACCATTTCCGGTCGACGGATTTCAAAATAAATGCTTACTGCGTGTGGAATGTATTCTCATTCATTGCGTGCCCGGTCACGAAAGTCTTATTTTGAAACTTGACGATCAACTACTTTGGTCTGGTCTCGTGCTGGCAGATCGCATCGATTGAGCATGGGTTTGTAGCATTTTTGACGTTAGCTAAGCAGCTTTTCTAGCATTTACAGAGCTAGTATGACAACGTGAACATTATGTTTACTAATCAGGGCATCCAGCCTGTAAATGTTGTTTTTAACAACGTAAAAAACTGCTTTCTTTACCTCCCCCCGAAGTTGATATCACACCTTTCCTTAAACGAGGTAAGTTAGCTTAATAAGTGTTTTGTTTTTGAAAAATCTTTTACTTTCTAAAAATGTAGTGCGTTTTTGTGTTTCTTTTCAGTGAGGTTTTATTTTTTGTTAAATGTTACTTTTTAGCATTTAGGCCAAAGTTAATCTTGTCAAAGATGCTCAGCTGGAAATAAATAGTGTTAAAATACATATCAGAGTAAAGCTAAAGAAACATTTCGTCCTTAAGTGTTTTCTATCTATTAATAATTTTATTTTGTTTGCACAGGAAGTAAACATTTATCAAATTAAATTTAAGGAAAGTGCTGCCCTCTGCCAGCTCCTGTGTTGTGTCTTTATCAAGAAAGTCAGAAATTTACTATGAACATTTATTTATTTATTTATTTTTAATAGAACCAGGCTTTGGAGTTGTCCTGGGCCAATGAGTCTCCAGTGTTTCTCAGCTGGGCTCAAAATAGGTCATCCTCCGACCAAGACATTCACAAAGTGGAACTGTGTCGACAGCTGGGAGAACAGCTCGGCTTGAAAGATGGAGAGCAGGTAAAGTGTTTCTTTCTCCTCTCATCCAGTCGCTACAGTCATTATGTGTTGTTTTAAAGGCTGAACAGGTGTTTCCTGGTTGTGTTTCCTGTCAGGGCCTTCTAAGACCGTGTCATCAAGTCTCATCGTTGAACCAGGTGTTTGTGGAGCCTCTGTCAGCTGATGACTGGGAGATCTTGGCGAGTGACATTTAAAACTCACCGTAGGCTTAAAAACAGCAGTCTGGATTAGTTTTTCTGAATTGCCCACCTTTTGATTGATACGCTGCATTTTCAAGCAGGAGTGCTGCATCTTTGTATCCACTGCTTGTTTAACTAATGTGTTTATAAATCAGCATGTCACTGAAGTACTGCATTCTGTATTTCTTTTAATACTGCTGTAGTTTTTCATTTTTTTATGTGACTGGCACTTCCAGGAGCTTCACAGTTCTGCACTGGAGCAGCAACTTCTGGATCAGATCAGGGTGGTTTTCCAGGATGCTGTGTTTCCTGTGTGGGTGGACAATCACACCGTGATCTACATTAGAATAGGTCTGTGTGATGCAGTCTTTTAAATTAGCTTTGCCCTGTTTCAAATTGTCAGATAGTCTTGGAAAGTGCTATTGTAACACTCTGAGGTCGGTCTGTGTTCAAAGTAAGAAACTTCTGTTTCAGTGAGTTATCCACTTCTCAAATAATTCTTAGGCTGATTTGAAATTTATCGATGTTGTTATATCCACAGATTATATTAATAAACGCAGCACGATCTGTTTCAACTCCACACAGCTTCACTCTCCTCGTCTGTGCCCTATGGTCGCCTGGAGCAGTTCACTGAACTTGTGGTGTCTCCGAAGATCCGTGCTGGAACAGGCAACCTTGGTGATTCTCTTGAAAGATTTGGCCACAACCAGCAAAACTCTGATCTCTCCTCCTCTGAGCCCTCGTCACATTCTACCTCCCATATCCCTCAAAGCCAACAGTGGGGTGGTATTGGTGACTTAAAGAGCCTGCTTCGATATCTGATAAAGGGCACTTATGACCCAGTTAAGGGGCAGCCTCCTGTACCCAACATTCCCGTCGTCTTCTCTGATTCGATCCACAGAGTGTGCGGCGCACCGCCCGACTCTCTTTGTTCCATAAACCACATCGCTGCTGGCGTTGTCCACCTTTTTCCTTGGGACCCTCATTTAAATGCAAGTGGAGGTCAGTCTGCAGTGACATATGGCCTTCTCTCCAAAGTTTTATCTCCTAAAGAAGCAAAAGACAAAACTAAGCAGGCCATGGAGAAAAAGAAGGGTGCCAGTGTTGGTAAAGATGGCGCAGCTGTTAAAGGGGGAGAGGAGGTAACGACAGAGGAAGCTGAGGTGGTCAGGGTTGTGTGTCATGTCCCCGAGACGCTGACGGATGAGAGGAGAGGCCACAACAAGGGAGAGATTCATCGTGGAAGAGTGTGGGTGAGTGTGATTTGGTAATCCTCATTAAGTTTTGAGAATTTATGATGTTTTTATTATGGCTTAATCCTCTTATTCCACATGTTTGTTCAGATCCCACAGCCTCTGGCCAGCAAGTTAAAAGTCCAGCCACATTCGACAGTGAGAATTAAACCGGTGAGGTCGACAATCAAAGTAGCCTTGAATATTTCTCTACAGCCTCTAAAACCTTTGGTGAGTGCTGGAGCGCAGAAGGTTTGATTCATCACTTTACTGTATGTATTTACTTTTTTTTTTTTGCCTCTTCAGTCTGAGGAGGACGATGAAGAGATCCAGACTGCTTTCCTCAGCTGGCTGCACACTCAGAGTCACGAACCTCTGGCCTGTCTGACTGCTCGTTCTAGTTCTGTCCTCCTCCACGGCAGCGATGGTGATTCATTTCTTCACTTCTGTTATTTAGGGAAAAATACAGTGCATGCGGTACATTCTTTCAGCTTCAATGGGGCAAAAAAATAATTGTTTTAAATTCCTAAATATAGCAAAGCTGGAGTTAGCTTTGACTGTGCTGAAACCAGAGGCACAGAGCGACCCTCCAGACCAGCTTTTTCTACTGGCACCCACTGTTCTGCAGAAGGAAGACATACAGGTATCGCCTTTTATAAAGTATTTTGTGTACTGAGCTAACGGATTATTTCCTAAACAGTTCTTGTTTTGCAAATCATAGTAAAATGTTGTGTGCAGTAATGAAACCGTCACTTGCAGGTGGACAGACAACCTGTAGCAGAGCCTGAAGTAAAAGCTGAAGATGAAGCGTCCGACCCACAGCTCCCCTCCCTCTGTACACTTGGGTAAGCTTTTACTTCAACGAAGATCTTTCTTGGCATTAATTCCTCTCTGTATTTCTCACTTTGCTGCTTTTCTCTAGTGGGATTGATGAGCATATTAGAACTGGAATGGAGTTTATTTCCTCCAACCTTCTGGGCAGCCCCCTCTCAAGACAGCTTTGTGCAGCTGCTCAGGGACTCCGAGGAGGAGCGCTGCTCATCACCGGGGCTAAGGTAGATCCAACATGGCATTTTAGTCGCCTACATAGAAACACAGGCTTTCTTAAGAATCCTGACAACTGTAGATTTTGGTTTTAGCATCTTTCAGATCTTGATCCATTCATTCATTCTGAGTCAGGTCGTGGGGGCAGCGTCTTAAAGAGGGAGGTCCAGACATCTTTCCTCCTGGCCTCCCAGGCTGTTCAGGAGACATCATTTCTCCAGCGTGTCCTGGTTGTCCCCTGGGGTCTCCTCCCAGTTGGACAAGCCTGTAAAACCTCCTTAGGGAGGTGTCCAGGGGGCATCCTTACCAGCTGCCTGCACCACCTTCACTGGTTTCTCTTGATCTTGTGAGGGAAACGCTCGACACATTTTACAGAAATAAACAGTCACTTAAATGACTTATTAGTCAATTAAATTGTTGCAGTTTAACAAATGCTGAGACTTTTTTTTTTTTTACATCGTTCGTGTAATAGTGACATATTTTTTTATATTTAAATGAAGAAGGCGGGAGTTGAAAAGTACTTGTCTGTGACTGATGGAGGGTTTTCTTTTATTTAAAAGAAGCATCTTAACCTTCCTATCATTCCTGCTTTATAACTTTTCAATTAATATTAGAAATAAAGAAAAACCTTAAAATGTCATTAACTCAATAAGAAACTTTTTTACATTTTTGTGTTGACTTGTCTTCAGATAAAACAGTGCAGTCAAAGGGAGCCACCTGCATGGATTATAAAGAGATGA